GGTTACACCCCTTTTACCTCACATATTCTGATTCCCCATAAAAAACTGGTCTAGAAAAACCATATGAGAATTTCTACCTCTCCAAGTGGCACCTATCTCAATTATAGCCTGGTCTAATGTAAATTAGTCTTCATACACAGGCAGGAAAAATTACAATATATCGACAAAAGATTGTTAAATTTGTTTACATTTTACATTATTTTTTTCACATTTTTTTACAGGTTGTGCTGCCAATCCACATTTGACGATTGTTAATATTGGGTCACCTTTTAACAATGGTGGCAGGCTCCAGTGCTATCCAACAGATAGTAGCACAACAATAACCATGGGAAAGGTATTCAAAATATCGGATAGTGACTCACTGGCTGAAGCAACTCCACAGGATCAAGGAGCATATCCTGGTGCTAAGAGTCTATCCATACCCTATGATGGAAACTTCTTTGGAGTTTATTACTGTAAAGGCGTGCGTAATGGCGAAACAACCATTGTGGAAACTACAGTTGTGGATCTACAAAACGCATTTGTTTGTAAGCAGTACTATTTATATATAAAGGTGAAATTAGTTGGTAGTTTTAATGACACATCAATATAGCGTGGCTGTGTGTGGCCAATGAGTAGGAGCACTGTATTATTTATCTATTGATTATCATTAATTGGACATCGAAAAATGACCTCATATTTCTTCAAATAACAGTGTTTGAGCTCTCATTAGCGAAATTGCAAAATCCTAACCTAGACTAAATTTGGCTAAATATTTTAAATCCAACTAAAAGGGTAATGAATTAAAATTCACTGTGTATATTGTATTGTTTCTGTGCTAATCAAACTTTGGCTAATCATTTTCATACTAGTAAGCTTGCTAAATAAGCATTTTCTAGCTCAAAACCTGGACCCTATGTGAGCCTACTGCATCTGGGTGAAATTGATAGTAACCACAGCTTGTTAAATCAATTGTCTAAACAAAATAGCCTTTCATAAAAAATAGTATTATGTTTACAATTTAATTTTTCAATAATTATATAAATAAATAATACTTTTTAAATTGACTTACTTTTCCAGCTGATGTTATACCAACAAACAAGAAAACAAGTATCACAGCTTCTGTTGGGGATTCTGTTACTGTGTCTTTTAATGTGACGGGATCTGATAATCGCATTTGGAGGAAGGATGGTGCACTGCTAGATAACTACGAGAACCTTTATGATGATTCAAGCTTAACTTTCAATAGTGTGAGCATTGAAGATGGTGGAATGTATGAACTTTACTTACAGGGACAAAGGGATGGCTACAAACATTCATTTATTGAACTTCTTGTGAGAGGTTGGTTATTGCTGTTTAATTTCTAGAATTAATTATACAAAATCATTTTTTATTCTAGGAATATCTAATGGATCAATAATAAAATGTTATCTCAATTTGTACAAAAATTATCATTTTAGAATATATTGCACTTCTACATCCCCAGAAATTTGCAATTTGTAATTTAGCTATGTCAAATGTTAAAGGTCATACTGTATGTCATACACTATTAAGCATTCTATATTGCAGGGTTATGTACTGCATTGAACACAACTTCTGCTTGTGTACTGCATTGAACACAACTTCGGCTTGTCAGACTAAAAACATATATTTAGGGATGAGGTTTTTAGTGGGCTGGCCTTAAAGTTTTCCACCGAGCTAATTTCATGGCCCTCCATCAACCCTTATTAACACACTTTTCCATCTTTAAAATCCACTCTTATTATTTAGATTTTATTAATGTTATCACTTACTGTACCCACCCTTAAAATGTCTATCATCCACCCTTAGTTTTCTATCTACAGATAAAACTCTGGTATTTGCTACTACAATCAATTGCAGCTCATAATATTGTGTTGTCTAAAAGCACCATAGGCCCTACTCAACCCGTTCAATTAGACTTTCGGTCATAAATGTATTACATACGTATTTCTCAAAAACTATTGATACATGGTGTACTAAAAGTTAAATTATTTTTGCCATGCCAACCTTCAGGAAATGTTTTATTTTTTGTTGTTTAATTGGTACATTTTATTGATTACATTGGTTATGCATTTTGGGGTAGTGACGTATTCTATTAGGACTTTTTGGTGAACTGTACACCCCGTCCTAACTGAACTACTGTACAATGTATTGCTTCATGGGGTACAGTAGGTACATTCAGCATCGCTTAAGTACAGAATACCACCACCATACCTGAATCCCTCCACACTGACAGAACTACAGTATGCTTCTTTGTGTGCAAGGACATTCAGCTTCCATAGTGACATATCCATCTCAAATGCTATATATCTACTAGTAGTTGCCAAGAGGTGTCCTCACATGTAAGCACATTTGAATGAACACTCATCTGTAGATGTAGTACATTTATTCTGCCTCAATTTAGTCAGTTTTTCCCCTCCTTACCATTTTGGTTTTTAAGCCACTTTAAGGAAGATAAAACCCAAAGAAACAATTTCAATTTGTAAATGAATCATCTAATATTTTATTTATTTCATTCAGGCTGTCCTGCTGGCCGATGGGGTGCACCTCGATGTACAGGTATTTGTAATAATTGTTATAATGGTGGCGTATGTGATGATGAGACAGGGAAATGTGTTTGTCCACCAGGGTTTCAAGGAGAAAACTGTATGGAAAGTAAGTTGAAACAATTTATAAGTTACTTTCAATTTTAATTCTTCTATATTTCTTGACAATACTTACCTTATGAAACGATATCAGCCGGATTTCTAAAGGAACTTACCCACAAAAAATAATGGAATCATCTAGCCCAGGTGTATATAACTTATCAACATTATATGCCCACACTTCCCAATGCGACCCTCTGGTCACATGCCCACCCCTCCCAAAGCGACCCATGGTCACATGATTTACAGGGGCTGTCAATCTTAGGACTACAGGCCTAGACCCCTGCAGACAAAGCATACAGTCTTCTGAAAAGACATCAAGCAATCGTGGGAAACAAATGCAACGATTGCTTAGGCAAATAACACAACGGAAGAAAGTATGAGGCTTTTCTTCACAGGTAAGCTACACACTCACTGCGAAAAGAAATATGAGGCTGGTTGCGTAACATAAGCTTGGTTTAGACGATTCCATTATTTTTTATAGGCCTTTAAGAATCAGCGTATATCAGTTCATCCAGGTAAGTACAGTATCTCGCTATCGGTCCAACAACATCACTTCTGATTTGTGTGTTTTGGCATATTTGGTAAAGGTATGACTTGCAGAGTCATTGTGCTGAATTGCACACGCTCGCTACTACTACTGAACAGTAGCCGCCATAATGAGGGGCTTAGTAGCTTTATGTACACGTCATTCCACAATGAAAGGGGCTGAAATGAACCACCAACATCGGATTGAGTTCCCTACTCTTTCCAAAAGATATGCCTGGAGTTATTTGAGTGTGCATGCTAGCCAGATGTGGACACTTCACAAGAGTGAACTGGTTTAAGTCTTATGAAAAGACTTGGTTCAAACCTAACCCTGGACATGGAGCATCATGAACCAGCACCGATGTTGGGGCTCTCCATTATGTCATAAATATAAAATACCTCATTCAATTAACACCAATAAAATCTGCTCTGGAAATCTAACATATGGGAATTTTCTTATAAGATTTTAATAGCTAGCATTTAATTGCCTATGAACAAATTTATCAATTTGAAAACTAAATCATTTTGAAGACATTAGATTGACTTCAGTTATTTGAAACACATTTTATATATAAAATGCCATGATAATCTATTGATTTATTTCTTTAGCTTGTGGTGGCAATAGATTTGGAATTACCTGTAACATTAAATGTACAAGAAATACAGCTAATCCCCAAAATGCATGTAAAAGCAATCAGTTTTATATAATAATAATAATAATAATAATAATAATAATAATAATAATAATAATAATAATAATAATAATAATAATAATATTAATAATAATAATAATAATTTATTGATTTATTTCTTGATTTACTGTAGCTTGTGGTGGTAATAGATTTGGAATTAACTGTCAAATTAGATGTACAAGAAGAACTGATAACAAAGATGAATGTAAAGGCCATCAATTTTGCTTACCTAATCCGTATGGATGTGACTGTGTAACAGGTTATACTGGTCTTGATTGTTTAACAGGTAAATGTACATTTCTTGTATTCATTAAACCATATCTATAATAATAGTCATGCACTCCCACACACAACAAGATCGTGTATGTTGGGATAAATCTGAACTGATAGTCACTGTACCATCTTGGCATTCCAGACGGACCAGAGAAGCTATAGAAATTCACAAACACGATATACATCAAGACATTGGATTTGTCATCAGCGATATTTGGTTGTCCATGTTTAACCGGACCTAAACCAAATTTTTCCCGCCAAACCTTTCCCTCTACACTGGAAACTATGCCATTGTTTTTGGCTTTCCTTCCCCCAGCTAGAACAATGTCACTGTCTTGGCTTTCTAGCCATGCCCCGCCCTTCTATTCAGACCGTGAATTTTAGCTTTTGTATAGCTTTTCACTGGTAGGCTCAGACTTTGTTCAGTTTTCAACCAATCAGCAACAAGTCTCATGTCTCAAACATATAAGCATGGAGAAAATTTTCTCCATGGTTGAAGCAAGTCAACTGAAACGTCGAGATATTCTCAACCAACAACAACAGTTCTTTTCAGAACTATCTACGTGGTGTACCACAAGCATTAATTATATATTATACTTCGCCATGCAAACCTTCAAACAATATAATAATAATATTGTTAGACTTTCATAGCGAATATTGTTAGGACCTTTATTATCTTTACCCTGGTCTTTGGATTAAATGCCTATGGAACACAAACTCAGTTCCCTGGGAGAGTATTCCATAATGTTGCAGCAGCTACAACAGTGCATTTTGGCATTTAACCCAACCAGGTACCCACTTCTGGGTAGAAGCAAGAAGCAATGCAGATAAAGTGCCTTGCCCGAGAACACAAGTGAAATGCACAGCGAGGGATTGAAACCCCGACCTCAAGGTTGGGAAACCAAACCGTTCTCACTGTGCCAAACTACTTCTCATGTAGTTGTAAATCATTGCATGTGGTGGAGTGGTAATCCACTGATCATCCAATATTGAGGTTGTGAGCCAAAGTTTTATAATGGTTTCTCCTTGTCTTTATGCACCAAGAAATATAAATTAATAATTTATTTTGAATTATTTTTTTTGTTGATAAAAGCATTACATTTTGCTGGTTAATTATGTAACCAATATCCAGGAGAAAACATAATTATATTTTTTGTGCAAAAGAGAAAAGCAGATTATCTGAATGTTTATATATTATTAAAATATATTTTATTTTAAAGAAATTGTCTTTGTGGTTTTTATGCAATTATGATTTTTCCCCCAAATATTGCTTTTATATTGATGTATACTGTATTAAAATGTTAAGATTGTCTCTGGTTATGCAGTTTTGTAAATATAAATGTGAAAATGTAAAGTAAATCTAAATGTATACAATCCTTCGTTAAAAGTCAACGAGGACATTTAGATTAGGTTCCTGGGGACCTGTAGCATGCGAAGTGCTACCATGAAGTGCAGTAATTGTATAGATTATTTATAATATAGATTGTTTTTGACATAAGCTATATATACAGTATATACATAGGTTGCTTTTAATATAAAGATGATAAAAATGAACCAGGTGTTTTCTATTCATTATTACATTCAACTGTAGCACCTTTAGTATTTTTTTCCAAATCAGAATGTGACTCTGGCAAATTTGGTGCAGGTTGCAGTCAGGAATGCCACTGTTTGCCAGGAGGATGTAACCGTTATACTGGAGAGTGTACCGGTGTTTGTGCATCTGGATGGACTGGAAGCAACTGCCAAAGTACTGTAGTGCTTTAGAAATATATATTTTTGTTACTGGTATCTTTTAATAATTATTGTGATAACTGATAATTTTCATTGCTGTTTTTTTTTTAATAGTTTTTTTTTTTTAATTGTCAATGATCATCTCTTCTTGAATAGAAGCCTTTAAATTCTCCATTGTTTAATTTTATTCTGTAAACATTTATTTACAAAATTTGTAATTGTATTAGTATAATATCAACACTTGGTTTTTTATCTCAACTGTTTATATAATAATTTCTATTTTTTCATTTCGTTTTTTTTCCTTGCAGTTCCAAGCACTTGCCCTGTTGGCTATTTTGGATCAACTTGTACATCGATTTGTCATTGCCATGATAATGTGGAATGTATTAGGGATACTGGCGTGTGTAGTAATGGAAAGTGTGCAATAGGATACAAAGCAAATGACAATTTTGTTTGTGAAGGTAAGTACAGTGTAACGTGGAAGGATAAGAAAGTCTATAAAAAAACACTGTCTCTTCACAAATGAATTAAAAACAAATAATTTGTTGATATTGCTGGGCCATATACTAAATCGTAGAAATAACAGGGAATAATTTTAATTGTAGGAGGTGGGGATTTGGCTCGTGTGCACTTAACAAACCCCAATACATCTTTCGTGACGAGTAGGAGGTTACCCCGGTGTACTGGTCTATACAGCTCCTGTTGTGGACAGACGAGAGTAGCTGGTACCGGTTTACCGGGTAGCTCTGACATGAAAAGACCCTTCGGGAGAAGCAAGTTACTGTATGAGCTAGTCCACATTTCGTGCGCTTTGAGATTTCTGTATAAAGCACTATATAAATCGAACTACATTACGTTACATTGGAAACAAAATTACCTGAAGCTTGCCGTGTTAAAGGCAATTTTTGATGGAAATGATGGCTCTATTTCCTATAGTATACAAAATTACTTAACTATAATTGCTCTTAAGTCAGTTGTAACATCCATCACCTTTTCTTGATCAAAATGATAGTTGTACAATCAACAGGTTGCAGTGACTGGTTGTTCGGTATCAATACAGTACATTAAATGTGTGTATGCATTACCTATGCGTGACATGATTTATTAGTAGTATGCGCACTGGCACCTTCGCAGCTCGTCACAATATGAAGAAGATGAATAAGTTGATTGTGGTTGATGAAATTTATTAGGTAGACCTAACCTTCTGGTAGACATTCCTGATGATGACATAATTAATGTTGAAATATTGAAACCCGACATGATGGCGTGCATTTCGATACTTGGAGTATGTATTATATTATCAAATATTTCTGCGTTGCCTTCTTTTTTCAGTTCTTTTATAAGTCAGTCACCTTGTTATCTCATAGCCATTTATGCAAGCCTGTAGCCACTGGAGGGTTTGAAAGAACACCCCCCCCCCCAGAAATGCCCTTTTAAATTATTACTAAAAGTACCATTTGCATGAAAGTTTTATGAAATATTTGAAGTTTGGCATATTTATTGCCATTTCTGACCACCTGAGGTGTTATCTTTAAAATTTAACCCAACTATGGTTCATTCGTGTAAACCAGCACTGTAGAGCAAGATTTGTTAGGTTCCCTGTGTGTGTTCATAGCTTGGCCCAGCAACAAAATATACATTGCAATGTAAAATCAAAAAGATGCAAACAAGTCAGCACTATATTGAATTAATGATTTATAGGGATTAGGAAAATTACGTGCAAATGAAAATGATGATGTCATGACTGACTTATAATAGATTTTTTTCGCTCTTTAGTGCCTGCAAATATACACTTCGCTGGGTTCAAATTTATTCCAGTCGGCCATACCATGGAGGTATTATTGAGAAAGAGATCACTCAAAAACGCTTCGCGTACGCAGCGCTGTGGAAATGAGCCACAGACAAAGCTGCCGCAGCGTGTGAAGAGCATTGCGTGATTCATTTGAAGTCTAATGTGTTCCCTGCCACCAAATGCTCAGCAGGCTTAGTTTATCAAAAAATTGAACATGGCGAAATGGAGAGCACCTTCTTTTCTCAATGCGCACTACTTACTGTCAATCACTATGGCTGCGCAATTGTTTCCATCTTAAAGCTAACACATTTATCTTTCAAGAAATACCAAACATATTAATATTTCTACTAAAAAGAGTTTTGAGTTTAATGAAACATTTACATGAGCTGTAAAAGTATGGTACATTTCAACTTGAATAATTGAGGGTTATATTACATAGCCTATGTAAATACGAGTACGTGATTGGTCGAAATGGCATCACGTGACTAGCGCTACGAGGATCGGAAACGTCATATTTCCCCGTAGGGAAATATAACTTTGAAAAGTGACCGATCTCTGACGTCACCGGATTACACCCACATTGCGTCCGTAGAATGCTAGTAGAGCGCATGATCAATCGCTCATGAATTGTGAATGTGGAAAGCTTAGCGCTTCGAAAATGGTGACTTCAAATAAGTTTAAATCTCTCGACGAAGACGAATTGGATAGAATTATTGATGAGAAGGATTCTCGGTGTACACAATTTGTTTGTGAATTCATCCGTTAATATAGGCCCACTCAGTGAATATCAGGGCTGGCGGAATGTTTTTCAAAGTGGGGGGGCCCCACTTATAAGCAGGCGCGTAACAGGGGTCTTGGGTCGGGGTGGGGGGGGAGGTTTCAAAGGTAATAATTTTCCCGGTTAGTAATTTATGACTTGGTATGATACCCCCTCCCCCATATAGAAAACAATACGACATGGCTTATTTTATTATTAATATAGGGCACACACGTGTGTTTGAAACTATATATAAGCATTTTCATCGTGGTTTTATTTATTACAATTCATAGGCCTATTCTTTCACCATCATTACACATTGAGACCCTTCTTTTAGGTAAAACGATCTATCTTAAATTTTCTTTCTCAAGTTTGGGACTATTATGTTTTTAAATAACTTAGAAGGCTAAGGAGGGCAAGCACAAACTTTAACCCTAAAAATGCACGGGAACAATTTTTGTGTTTATAATTCTAATTTCGTCGGAATTGATCAAAACTCCCTAAATGTGCAATTTTTAGAGGAAATTGGCCTACCTCAACAAGAAATGCTCTTATGTTATATATAGCCACACTCTTTTTTTTGAAACTGAATATAAGCATTTTCCTTATGGCTTTATTTATTACAACATATTCTTTCAACATCATTACACATTGAGGCCCTTCTTTTAGGTAAAACGATCTAACGTAAATTTTCTTTCTTGAGTTTGGGACTATGTGTTATAACTTAGAAGGCAAAGGAGGGCAAGCACAAGCTACAACATTAAAAAATGCGCGCGAAAAATGTTTGTTTTTTTAATTCTAATTTCGTCGGAGTCCAATTCTTGATTTGCATTTCCTTTTACAATTTGGACATTCATTCAATTCATCTGACATTGTTGGTTCTTTTGTTTTTCTTTGGTGGCGGAGGTAAGCTTTATGTTTGTAATGTTTTTGTTGTCGCGTTTCCACAGCTGACTTAATTGAATGATGCCATGATTCTTGGTTCTTGGTCATTTCTTCTGCAGTATGGGGATCAATGTTGATCGAATTGAGATCTTGTTTACATACATCTTTATACCGCAGTAAAGGACGTCCTCCAGAGCGCTTTCCTTCTGCCAGTTCACCATACAAAAGTTGCTTTGGGATTCTGTGGGATTCCATTCTTGTTGTGTGACCAAACCATCTCAATCGTTTATATGTTAGTAATGTGTAAATATCACATAGTTCTGCTCTCTCTAGCACTCTTTGTTACTGATTTTATCTTGCCATTTAATGCCTAGAATGCGGCGAAGATTTCTCATATGAAATGTATTCAGCTTTCTCTCTTGCCAGGCGTATGTTGTCCAAGTTTCACTAGCATATAAGACATATAGGAGTATGCTTAATACACAAGCTTTGTATACCTGACACTTAGTTTTATTAGTCAGCTTGGCGTTCTCCAATACTCTATCTTTCAGTCTTGCCATGGTTACAGTGGCTTTTGATATCCTCTTCTCAATCTCATCATCTAGTGTACCTTTGGAGTTGACTGTAGACCCAAGGTAACAGAATGTCTACACATTCCAGTTCTTCACCATTGATTTAGATTTTTGTTTTGTTAATGCTGATTTTAGTTTTGTTAATGCTGATGGTTAGACCAAACTCGTTACAGGCTTTTGAGAAGCAGTCCATAACTTCCTGCAGTTTTTCAGTCATGGATATTAAATGTATTTGTCCTTGTCTTTGCTCTAAGCCTTGCCTGATTGAAGACTCCTCCATCTTCACGGGTCCGGATAGCAATACCAGGATTTGCTGGGCAAAGGCTGAACGTTCGTATCTGTACTACTGCAAAGAAGATGCCGAAGAGAACTGGAGCTATGTTATCACCTTGCTTAATACCACTTCGGATCAGAAAGGGTTTTGAAGTCTTGTTGTTGAAGGTTATAACTCCCAAGTTGTTTCTCATGGAAGGACTTAATAATGCCAAGCTGGATTGGTGGACATCCTATTCTTTCTAGGACACTAAATAGTGCATCTCTACTAATTAGATCAAAAGCTTTTGTTAGATCTATGAATGCTATGTGGAGCGGCATGTTTTGTTCTCTACACTTTCCTTGCACTTGTCTGAGGGAGAAAATCATGTCTATGGTAGATCTTCCTACTCTGAATCCACATTGTGATTCAGAGTAGACACGGTCAGCTATAACAACTAGACTCTGATGAATGATTTTGGCATATACCTTTCCTACTATGTTGAGGAGTAAGATACCTCGATAGTTGTTACAGTCCTTCTGTGATCCCTTATTTTTGTAGAGTATTATAATCTTTGAGTTACGTAGTTCTTGTGGTATAGTTGGAGGAGTGTGTCTCCAACATTGTAACAGTAAGTCATACAATGGTAGTAATTAAGTGGTTTTGCATTGTTTGATGACCTCAGGTAGAATGTTGTCATCTCCTGGTGCTTTTCCTACATTAAGGATATTAATGGCCTTTTCTAGATCTTCCACTGTAGGTTCTTCATCAAGCTCAAACAGTTTTGGAAGTAAAGGGACTTGATCCAATGTTTCTGGTGCAAGTGGGACGGTATTGGAGAACAGTTCATAGTAGTATTCTGCCCATCTGTCTAATTGTTGTTCTTTGTCATGTAGAATTGTGCCATCTTTTGCTATGATTGGTGCTGATTTTTTAGGTTGTCTTCCAATGGCACATTTTAAACCCATTATACATTTTCTTGATATTGCCAGTTTCTGCTCCCTTCTGAATTTCTTGGCTTAATTTCATCCAGTACTGGTTTGCTGCCGTTTAAAAAAAAAGAGTAGTTGCATACGAATTTTCCATGAATCGATGAATCCCAAAAAGGGGGGGTCTGGGGTTCTTCCCCAGGAAAATTTTGATTCCTAGAAGGCAGGAAATGAGCTTTCCCGACTTCTGAGGTGTCTTTTAAATTAAAGTCATTAAAAAATACTTCAGAAGTCGGGAAATCTCATTATCCACCATTTAGAAATCAACGTTTTCCCGGAAAGAACTCGAACCTCCCTTTCTCTGGGTTCATTGATTCATTATAATAATTTTCAAGAGGGGAACACCTTGAATTTTGAAGAACTTAATTACTTTTTCTTTTTTTTTTTTTTTTGCCACTCTTGAAAACGGTCAGATAATTTTCCCATTTTATTACAGTAAATAGACCTTATGTTTGTATACATACATAAAAAAAGATTGAGTAAGTTGCATACATAGTTTTTCCATGAATAGATAAATCCCAAAAAGGAAGGGGGGTCCTGTGGTTCTTTCCCGGGAAACTTTTGATTCCTAGGTGGCGGAAATGAGCTTTCCCGACTTCTGTGGCGTCTCTTAATGACTTTTAAATTCTTCAAAATTCAAGGTCCCCTCCCCCCCTTGAAAATGATTCAATTAATCAATGAACTCCAAAGATAAAAGGGGTCCGGGTTCCCCCAGAAAAATTTCTAGATGGCGGGAGATGAGCTTACCTGACTTCTGAAATATCTTTTAATGACTTTTAAAGTTCATCAAAATTCAAGGTTTTCCCCTCTTAAAAAAGGTCAGGTAAATTTTTCTCATTTTTTATTTTATGTGCGTATACATACATAAACAAATGAGTAGCTGCATGCGTATTCTTTTTTCCATGAATCGATAAATCCCAAAAAAGAAAGGGTGGTCCGGGGGTTCTCTTTCCCATCCTTCTCCTCCTTCTTCCCTCCATCTTTTTTTGCATTTCCAATCATGCAAAAATCTCCAGACATTATATATTTTTCGCTAAAAAGTGGGGGGCCCGTGCCCCTCTCCCCCGCTTCCACCGGCCATGAATATTGTAATGCTGAGAAATCATCAAATTAGGCCTAGGCCTAGCCTACTAGCATTGAAAATTTCACAGCAACGGAGCTCAACGCATTACGTTTCTCCGGTCATTCTACGCTGAGGTAAGGAGAGCAAACGGTGAATTGTAGGCTAAACGATCTATGATAACACTACGCTACGGGCTACAACAGAAACATTTTTAAAAAGTGACGGCAATATGAAGTATTTTGGCTATGTAATATGACAGATATTGTGTAAAAATTAAATAAAAGTTCTTGATATTTAAAGTAATGTGTTCAGTTAATTATTTGCATCTATTTTTGGCTATATAATGTAACAGATATTGCCTTTCTATCGGTGTAATAATAACATTTGATATCCCCTTGGGAATTTTTTTCTCAGGACTATAATATAATTCTTCAAAAAAAATATAATTCCCTCGGGGATATCAAATGTTATATTACACCTCTAAGCAGGCAATATCTGTATAATAGTAAACTAAGTCATTTTAGTGTGTGTGGACTATTCGAAAATTCAATCCAAAATCAGATTAATTTTCAGTTTTGCATTGCCTTAGCTTTATAGATGAACCAATCGATCTTTAGACAAAATTATAACACAGAAGTAATTGTAATAGTGTAACAGAATCTGTTCCTGAAATATATATATAATAACATACTAAAAAAATCCGATCAGGTGAATTTTAAATATATTTAATGAGTTAAAACCAAATGGTTTGAAGCGTGTGAAAGCATGTCATTTCTAAGTTGTTGCTAATGAAAAAAATGTTAATTATAAGGTAATACACCCGCGCATGATCCAAAGGCGGGGAACACATTCGTATGTCGTGTCAAAGGGACTTATTGTCATGTGATCTCTGTTTCAATAAATACCTCCATGGTCATACAACCCTACTGCTTTTCATTTTCCAAAATGTTCACTGGGGTTCTCACTAAAAAAAAAAAGAAGACCATCCACCCCAGCATTGCGCACGACCACTCACTATTGATTCAAATTATCTCTATTTATAGATTAAGAAAATGACATTGCCAGAGACAAGTTATTTCAATTAAAGGTCTTACTTTTATAATGTTCTATCATTTATTGTTTAATTTGTTATGTATAGCCTGCCAACCTGGGAGCTATGGTGAAAACTGTGCTTTGACTTGCAATTGTGATTCTGCCTCTTGTCACCATGAAACTGGATGTAATGGCGGTTGCCATAGTAATTGGTTGTTAAACACCTGCACTACAGGTACAGAAAATCTACCAATCATTTTTTTTTCAAGCAACATTCATTTTGTAGAGGCGTGATAATGTATATTAAACCAAATAAATATCTAATTGACCTATGAATGGAGGTGCATCTTATACTTTTTTTATATTATTTTCATTATAATATATGCCTCTTTCAGTTTTGTTGTATTAAATTGATTGCTTCATTTGTTAATAGTTCAACAATTACCAATAATAAAGTAGTTATTTAAAGCAACATTCGGGAGCTTTAGATTGGTGGTTAAAATAAAAAGCTTTGCTAATTTGGCTTAACAGTTTGAAGCCACTGTGTGTACTTTGGTTCAATTTTATCCCCTACTCTGCTTTTTGTTTCAATTTGAGGGTCAGTAGTGCACAGTTTTTCACATTAAAGAACACAGTGAACTCTTTGTTAAAGAGAAGGGGACTGTCTCCTGGTGTTCTGTCCAATTCAACACCAGATGGACCCTACTGTAAGTCTTAGGTTGGTTATATCCTTAGTTTATTAAGGGAATCTAATCTAAGTTTGGCTTCTAATTTTTTGGTCCAGGAGGTGCAAATCTTCTTAACATTAAAACAGCTCCACTCCATAAGCTTGATAATACTGGGCCATGTGGGAAAACAATAGCTTAATACTGAACACCTATCCCAGTTTAAATAACAATTACATGGTTTAATTAATTTTTAACATCCTGGGTACATCTTGTCAGAACAGCTCAATTTCCTTAAGCCTTACTGTATAATTAGACTTTGTTTAGACCATTAAAACAAATTCTTGTGTTGGCCAACTTTTTGGGGAAATCCAAAAAAACAGGTAGGTCTGTAGGAAATTTTGTAAAAATTGTGTAAACCAGTAATGTGTTTATGCTAAAAGTAGACAATACACAAACATACAACAAAGACCATTTATAAATCTATATTGAAGAGCAAAATGATTGCATAACACTGTCACATTGCCTACCGTTGCAAGATAAGCTTATTCCAGCCTTTTTAGCTCATTAAAAAAAAATGTTTTCGTTGTAGTCAAAAAAAAAAAAAAACTCAAATTTTGGATCGGTCGGGTGTGGCCAACACAATAATTTTTTTTAATTTGGCCGTACTGGACCCTATGGGAGAATAGTAGCTTGCTTTTGAATATTCATCTCTGTTAAGGTAAGAAAAAAATTAAAACATTTAAACAATAGCTATTATCAAAAATAACTCTTACAAGAGGCAGTATCTTTTCATCAGAATTTATATATTTTTATATATCTTTTATTCCTGTTTTGTTTGCTACTCTAGGAATAATTTCAACTTCTAACACAAAAGTTAATCCACGTCAGATATCCACATTTCAATGTGACATTCAAGGTGATGTAACTGACACTACCATTCAGTTCCTTATTGATAGTCAACCTGCTGCACAAACTGGACGCACAAAATCAAGTGGAGTTACAATAGTTTCATTTACCGGTGAAGCAAATCCTGATGTTGCATATGTTTGCCAACTTACTAAGGATTCTTATACGGCAAATGCAGCTCATTCGCTTACTACCTATGGTAAGTTTCAATTATTGACTATTTTCATTACTGATGCCGGCGCCTTGTGTATTCTCCTGATTGTGATAGGCGCTATATAAATTTGGATTTAAAAAAAAATGCTAAAGTTCAATGGTTTTTTCGTGTTTGCATTTTTTCACTATTATTACAGGAAAGTAAGTTTCAATGATTGTACATTTTTGACAAATAAAGAATTTTGTATTTAACAGTAATAATAATAATCATGGTACATTGTGCACTTTTTTATGTATTTTTATGTACTTTTTATATTTCTCATCCCCTTGGGTGTATTTTTTGAATGTATTGAAATTGAATTAATTGAATAATCTTGCAGTTCTTTTATATTTTTTTTTCACTTTATTGTGATATTATTCCTAAATTCACCAAATTTGAATTAAACTATTAAATATGTACTCAACATACCACCCAGTGTAGTGGGTTCTGATGGTGGATTAGTGAATTTGAAATTATTCCACATTTTTTATAACTAGAATTACCAATATACACTGGAGAACCAACCGCAGAGACGAAAACTGGATCATCAGTGGAATTGAGGTGGAGGGAATGGAGTACCAGCAGTGGAGATAGTGGTGATCCTCCCATTATTGGATATGTTGTATATTACAAACAAAGATCTCTATCATCTGAGTCCTGGAGGCGAGCATTCCAGGTTAGGGGTCTTACAGCCACAGTGACTGGTTTACATTGGGAAGAGGAATATAAATTTGCTATAGCAGCTGTCAAGGAAGGTGCTGGGGGTGAAGGTCCAATGGGAGGTAATAGGCTAACTACATCAACAGTTTGTGGAGGTAAATACATTTGAATAATCTAATTGGACAAAATGCAAACCCATTCTTGTCAGAATATTTTTTTTGTAGCTGTTAATGTATGGATAACAAATAGTTTGTTATCAATTCATAGTGGATGATACATCTGTGAATAACTAAGCTGAATTAATTAATATTGTTGTATTATTAAAACTATATAATTTGTGATGAAGATGCTGATTTGTGATTATGATGATGATTCTGGGTGGTGGTAATTTATGATGATTTATATTGATAATGATGAACTTAAGGATGATGAATTATAATGACTAATGGTGATCATTGTTTGATGATTTAAGATAGTTTATGGGCGTAGACTCGGAGTGGTGCATCACCCCCTCCTCCCCCCACCCCATGACAGCAAATTATATCCACTAAATGGGTTAAAATACTAAAAATGACCATTAAGTTTTCAATGGAATAGGGACTTAGTTCGGTATTCTCAATTTTGTTCACCCCCAGGCCATTTCACACCGCCAGACCAAAAGCAGCCTACGCACCTGTTGATGATGGTGATGATGATTTAAGATGGTTGATGGTGATTTTTTTATGATGGTGGTGATAATTTATAATAATGATGGTAGTGAGGATGATTTATGGAGATGATTATAAATTATGATAATTGGTGATGATGATTAATGAGGATGGTGATAGTGATGAGGAGGATGATGAGGAAGATGATAATATGTGGTGATGGTAAATGTCAAGATGATTGCAACATCCTATTGAGAACACATCATGGGTAAATGGATAGATAAATAAGTAGATGAATAACAATTGATATATAAATGTAAATTTTTATTAAGTATTTTATAGAGAACTGTAGATAAATCACTTTGTCCAATGAAACAGGTGATCTTCCTCATAATTGGCAGCACCATAAAAATGTTATCATAATTTTGAAAAATATTATTTCTTTGTCGTAAAATGTTGCTTTCATCTAAATATTTTGTACATGACGTATTAATTAATGTAATCTGTAGAATACTCTGTATTTACTTTTCATAATAATTATTTCAGAACCATCAGCACCAGTAGTCAACACAATTTCAAGTAACAAATTTCCTAAAATGATCAACATTTCCTGGCAGCAATTGACGGTAAATTGTTCATTCTGTCCTGTAGATAGGAAAAATTTCAAAGAGAAATATATTTTATTCTGGTTTCGAACATAGTATGCTTTAGTTATCTCTTTTTTTGCATAATTGCTCATAACATGGAGGTTTTATGAAAAATTATAGTATGCTAACTAGGTAAGACTTAGAGTAACATTTGTGGTTTTTTGCCTTAAAATGGCTGTGCACTTTCCCAGCAGCGCCACCAAACAAGGATTATGTCGCAGCAGGGCATATTTTGCGCTTATCAATCAATCAAATACCTGATAGAGGGGTTCTGAAGAGGGGCTTTCGCAGATGGAGAGTCTATACTACCTCCCATTCTCATCCTGTAAATGGCGAGTGTACTTGCTGTTGGATGCGAGGGAAATAAAAACAAAAACAAATTTATAATTATGGCACCTCTGGATGTATGACCGGAGATGGCACTCAGATTCAAAATTTGAGTAGAATTTTCTTTTTTTCTCAATTCTTTTTTTAATTTCGAAAAAAATTAGGGTGCTCGGCCTGGCTGGGCTCTTCCCCCTCTTGAATTCGCCACTGACTCATAAAGCAAACATAATACAGCAATTTTTCCTGTAATTAAGGAAATATAAGTTTTTGAAGATTGCATTGGAATTTAGAACTATATTTTTAATAAGACAGGTGCAAATTAATCAATCAATCAATCAATCGATGTTTAATTGTTTCCATACTTTGATGGAAATTGCAGTTGATATCCATACATAGATATCAGAATTCTATTTTTTATACTTTTTATATAAAATCTTTTTTGAATAAACCATGTTTGTTAGTTTGTAATAGAACCTGTCGATAGGTTGAATCAGTCACACCGGATTTCTTTTTTGCAGTTTTGTAGTAATCAGCAAATGTCAGTTCTTTGATGAAACTTTCATCGAATGATTGTACTGTTTCCTGCCTCTTTTGTATTACAGATTTAGATGATAAAACTTTTGAAATGGGCTGCATTTGAGAATTTATATTTCTATATTTTTTTTTTATATTTAGAAAGTACACTAAGTGCATACAATTATTTTGTTTATAAATGTTTTCCTTCCAGGTTGAGGAGTCCAAGTGTAAATCTGGTGTAGATCATTACAACATATCTTATAGACCTATTAATACAGACGTGCCCATGGTCACACATGAAACAACAGAAGATTCTTATACAATAATGGGACTTGAAACATACACAGAATACAGCATCTCTGTAACAGCAAGTAACAAAGATTTCCCTGGGATGGCAGGAGTGATACAAGTGTTCTCACCTGAAGAGAGTCAGTGCTTTTTCTTACCTCTGCCCAGGCTATCAAGTTATATGTGTCAAATAACTGATTTGCTTTATAATTATTCATGTGTGGTATGACATCATGTCCTTATATGGGTGAGATATGATGATATGACCATACGGGCAAATTACAAAACACCTGATAAATTGGACAGAGATTTATAAGTTTTAGACTAGACCAAGTTGTATAAAATGTTAAATATTAATATTATAAAACAATACACTTTTTTAGATTTCACACTGTTTAAAGTTAAACAGATTATTGGCAAATGGCAGAGCGATCAAAGCAGGGGTGCCACAACATATAGCTCGCAAATGGGTTTTATGATCGAACATGTCTTCTTGGATTAGGACTATGAACATATTTACATATTTGGCTCATGTGCACTATAAAGAACAACTCTTGAAAGAACTAGAATATCTTTCAAGACGAGTCTTCTCCGGTGCACTGGTCCTTACCTGTGGACAGATAAGTTTATGGTACCAGTTTACCAGGTAGCTCAGACAGGAAGTGACCCATTGTTTCCTGGTTTCCTTTTGATTACTTTACATGCTGACCTAATTAACATACCTACCAAGTCTCCCGCATTTGGCGGGAGACTCCCGCTTTTCGCCCTAACCTCCAGCTCTCCCGCCACTAGCCTAAAATCTCCAGCTTTTCTAATAATCTCAAGATTTTTTATTAAAACCCACAATTTAATACAAAAATATCCAAAACGTGACAATTCTGTAGTTTTATAAGGCATATAAAATCTACGAAAATACATGCCGTTTCGATAGTAAACAATGTATTCGTGTAAAATTAACACTGGTGGCGCTGTACACATTACGTCATTTCTATTTTAACTTTACGACCACGATAATGCATATCAATACTTTCAGCGAACCAGAATCCACGATGGTTTTACCGGCGAAAATAGGGTCTTGGCTGCGCTTATCATCATCGATGCATCATCCAAATCCAAAATGTCGGACAGTGAAGTTTCAAGCAGCAATGAGGCGGCCGCACCTGGTTCATCAAAGACAAATGCAAAAATGTTAAGAGTTTTAACACTGAAATAAAGCTATAGAATTTTATTTTTCAAAAAATGTTAGTATATATTACCCCATTTTTAAGATTTAATTTGAGCACTAGAGATCTGCTCAGAGTGCACCAGAGAGCATCTAGTCCTAAAAATTCCATATTAACATGGTTCTTAGCTCAAGTCACAAAACTTTCTATATTCACATTCCAATCTTTTAGAACCTCCGCCCCCAGATGTCTCAGCAGTACATGAGGGTACATACCTCACAGTTTCCGTAATGCCGTCTGAATCAATTGATTATAAACTGTACGGGAACATAAATGGCTATGATGTAAGATACAGATTAGCTAATTGTGACGAAGTGGAGGAGTGGATTGGTCTAGCAGTTACAAAAGATCAAGGAAGCAATGGTTACAAAATAACAAGCCTAGAAACTGATGCTGACTATAAAGTCAGTGTAAGTAAATCTGGTGCTTCTTTCAGTATACAGTAATAAATGATGTACAGTACATTGTTTAAATGATGATTTTGAATAATAATTAAATTTTATTTTATGCTTGTTAGTGCATCTGCCACCATGAAATTAAGGATCTATTTAAAAAATAAAGTGCCGCTGTGAAATCCCCATTCAGAAATCGTATCAGTTTTCCTCACAATATATAAAGCATTTATCAATGCAATTGCTGAACTGTTTTCATCTCTTTCTCTCTACAAAATAATATTGATTTAGGATTAAGTGTGTCCTATATGGTTTTATTTATCTCACATGATTTTGTTGTAGTAGATCTAGTTTATGGTGGATCAACCAGTCGTGGCATGGGGTACTATGTTCACATTTATCTGCCCGTGTACATGATTATATTTTTTTTTTTACTATAAGCATCATCATTGATTTAGGTAATCTCTTTGATATTTATACTACCTGTCATACATTTATATTCTGCAAGTGGTACATATATCTTAATGGTAATATGTGTCACAGAAAATATTTTTTCATTTTAGGCTAGAGTTATCAACGGGGCTGGTGCTGGAAGCTGGAGCGACTCTACCAAAGCAGTAACAGGTTCAAGTACAGGAACAGGTAGGCTTGATATTTTTTTTATTTGTGTGTTTAGCAAACCTTAATGAATCAGTTCTTTTTAATAGTCAAGATTTATTTTGCACCAAATTCAGTCACATCAGCCCCATCATGGTTGCAGCTGAGGTTTTCATTTTTTTTGTTGGTATAGTACCTAAATGGTTAGATGTAAAATTTTATGAGTTTGATTATGTGTTTAAGGTACAGTAATGCTAGGGTACATTCAAAGGCTTTATATTTATGTTGGGTTTTTTTTATGCATTCACAGGCCTGATTGAATTGCTTGCAGCCAGCGGTGGTGCCAGAAATTTGCCTACAAGGGGTCCGATATGCCCGACAGAGGGGTCCGAGCGAAGGGGCCGATGAACCATCGGTTTATGGCCCGGAATAAAAACTCCCTTTTAGGGTTCACGGGGCGAGTTTTTATTTAAACCACAATATTAGGAATTGGCAGTCAAAATAAGGTTATTTGGATAGGCAAATTATTATTTTTGATAGAGATGACCTAGTTGTGTGTCGGATGACAGAGGTGTCAATACCTGTCTGATGGGAGTGGGGGAAAATAGCAGTCAAAATAACGTTATAACCATCTCCCCCATCCCCACTGGCGCCACCACTGCTTGCGGCTTGTGTTGAAATTTGGCCTGGGTCTCATTTGAGTATCCTAGTGTGTAGAATCAGTGATTCGTCAAGCAGCACAGTAGAAATAACAGTAGGTCTCGATCCCTGATTTCAAATAAAAATAATAGTTTTTAATCATTGTTTAAATATTGTAATTTTAGTACATTTATAATTTTTATCATGCTCTTTCTCAATAACATTTTCATTAATATTTGGTTAATGTGTTTTATAATTTATTAAATCTATCTACTTCATCACCACCCCAAGTTAATATCTTTAGAAATAAAAAATAGAATCACTATGATTTAAAAAAAAGAATTATTACAAAAAAAACAAAAACCTTTTTTTTTTATGGCTTTTAATTGGATGGTCCGAAAAAGTGCTTTTAGACCACAATAAATGAATTGAAAACTGATGAATGGACAAGAAATAAATGTTGGTGGCATCTGCTATCAAATTACACTTTTTAGGCCTATTGACAGCAAAGTAGTGAGGTCAAGAAAGGAGAATTCACGTCGAAGCCATGTTCCTACTAATCTTTTCACTACTTTACACGACAATCTTAATGTAATGTCAAGTTTTTAGAGACTTAAATCGGCATGGCTCTACAGAGTATAGAACTTGGAATAGACTTGGTAAGAAGAGGAGGACCTGGGTTATGCATTGCCACAGGCTTCTACAGTCACAGATATTAAAATGTCATTGCTATTTTAATGTTAATTATGTTGGATTTATAGCATTATTATTATTATTATTAATGTTATTGTATAATATATACTCGTTGAAATGCACACCATTGTGAGGATTTATTCAACACGATGGCGTGCATATCAATGGAGTATGTATTAACTATTTTATCTGAGATTAATCAGTAGAACTTTCCATATTATTATTATTATTATTATTATTATTATTATTATTATTATCATTATTATCATTATTATGTTCCATAGGATCATCAATCCCCGGATTTATGATTGCATTAGTGGTTGTTCTTTTCATCATCATCTTTCTTCTTTCCTTGGCATTTGGCCTATACTACAGGTATAGTCTCTCGATACATTAATCATTTCAGTTATTTTAATAAAACACTTAAAAGTTTAATATTAAGGATTACACATATAGTGTATCTAGCATCTTGACTTAACAATTCTCCATTGCACTTTTTCATTATTTATTCGGTCCAACTCAACACAATAACAAAATATGTTAACATCAGGTTGTGGATATATCGGCTTGATTTTGTGGGCTTTTTCTGTATCATTTTAATTTTTATTTATTAAATGTTTTGTTTAATGCTTAATGTTATGACAATAATGTTTTATTATAGGTTATTAAAATGAATAATATATTTTAATTTAAATGTTATTCAGATGTTTATATTTATTATATTGTTGCTAATTTTACATATATTTATATAGGCTTATTTGTATATGAATTTGCTTGATTCTCAATCTATTCAATTTATTTACACATAACATTATTCGCCGTCTGTTATTTTTATTTGTTTGTTCTTATGTTCATTCATTTTTTCGTTCGTCCTTCCGTCTGCCCATTACTGTCACTCATTCTTTTATTGTATTTTATCTGACCGACAACCAACCAAACAATTAATCATCTTAATATTGACATTGAAGTCTAATTCTAATACATTTGATTCCAGATACAAGAACTCAAATGGGAAAAACACGGATAAGTGTGAAGTTCAAGTGACAGCAAATACCCAGGTAGTTGATAAAGAAAATGAGCTTGATAATTATACTAAGCTCATCAGAGATGATTTGATGCAGCAAAATCAATACGAGACCATACAAAAAGGGACTCAAGACACGTATGATTATGCAATGCCACAGACCAGTAGACTTGAGGTAGCTACAACAGAAGAAAACGTTCGAGTTACCGGAGGTGAAAATGAGATCCCAATGAAACATATGGGACATGAGTCTGACTTGATTAATAATGCTATTCCTCAATATGCAAACATAAAATAATCACTCTTTACCATATCCTACGTTTTTATAAGCATCTGAATGTCTACTTTGCAATGTATTTTGAAATGTGTGCTAATGAACATAATATCTTTATTATGCTTTTTTTTTTTTTATTAATTTTATTATTATTTATCATTCTGTGAAGCCCAGTTGGCCAAATGCTTCAACTATTGCCATAACAGAATATTTTAAAGCATGATATTGAATACAGTTTCGTCTTTAACTGTAATTTTAGAAAGACATTTGCAAATGAAAGTCAAATTGCTTTTTAAATTAAGAACATGAGCCAATAATTATTTTGTTTATAGTGTTAAAGCATGTAAGATACTAGGCCTATGCCTACTGGTAAGATACTAGGCCTTTGCCTACTGGTAAGATACTAGGCCTATGCCTACTGGTAAGATACTAGGCTTATGCCTACTGGTAAGATACTAGGCCTATGCCTACTGGTAAGATATTAGGCCTATGCCTACTGGTAAGATACTAGGCCTATGCTTACTGGTAAGATACTAGGCCTATGCCTAACTGGTAAGATACTAGGCCTATGCCTACTGGTAAGATACTAGGCCTATGCCTACTGGTAAGATACTAGGCCTATGCCTAACTGGTAAGATACCAGACCTATGCCTACTAGTAAGATACCAGGCCTATGCCTACTGGTAAGATACTAGGCCTATGCCTAACTGGTAAGATACTAGGCCTATGCCTACTGGTAAGATACTAGGCCTATGCCTACTGGTAAGATACTAGGCCTATGCCTAACTGGTAAGATACTAGGCGTATGCATACTGGTAAGATACGTCTAGGCCTATGCCTCATGGTAAGATATTAAGCCTATGCCTACTGGTAAGATACTAGGCCTATGCCTACTGGTAAGATACTAGGCCTATGCCTACTGGTAAGATACTAGGCGTATGCATACTGGTAAAGAATATTGTAAAAAATAGATTATAAAATACATGATAAAATGTTGTGATGGATGTAGTCTGAGACATTCCTTATTCGTCACATATTGACTTATTTTAGCAATTAACATGATCATTTTATAATATACATGTAGTTTATTCCATTATATTTAGTGAACATACGCCCGTTTGCATCAGCTGCACTCACTTAAAGTGGTACGTTCTACTTAACTTAACATACTGAATACTTTGCTGTGAGGTACTGGGGTGGGTCCAGATATTTTCAGGAGGGGGTGCAGAAAGAGGGAACCGTCTTCTTTCTTGTCACCCTCCTATCTTTCGAGAGACTTAAAGCCAACAATGATATTAGCCTTAAAATTGTTCTCATAAATTACCCCCACCATAAAGAAAAAAGCTGCTTACTATTTACATTTTTTTGCTAGCTAAAATTCAAAAGCAGTTTAACATGTTAAAGGTGGGGGACGACCATCGCCGCCTATGGATCCACCCAGGTGTATCACCTAGTTAGGGGTCTGGGATCACGCTAGAGTGGAGTCGGATAGTGACCCCTTGAAGATTTTGCATTTTTGTTAAGCCACTTTTATGTTTTCATTTTTGCAAATGAAATTTAAATTACCTTTTAAATAAATAAAAACATGAGCCAATAATAATTTTGTTTATAATGTTAAAGCAGGTTAGATAGGCATACTGGTAAAGAATATTGTAAAAAATGGATTGTACAATACATGCTGAAATTTGATAGATGTAGACATAACTTATTCGTGTCGTATTGACTTATATTTCGTGATTAACATGGTCAGGAGTTTATAATATTTTTATTCCATCATTTAGTGAACATATACGTGTTTGTATCAGTCGCGAATACTGAAGTGGTACGTACCACTTACCTATAATTTGCTCCTCCTTTCGCTGTACTGTACTAACGTAATTTGAATAATAAATTCTCACATGTGTTGCTTTTGTAGAGTGACATCCTCGTCCAATATTTTGTACATTCGTAAAATTGGTAATTCGTAAAATATGATATTTTAATAGACAAAATAGGAGCTCAAAATATGCCAGATAGTAAGACATTTAAAAGAATGGTGCTACGACATATTTCTTCTAGAGCTGTGCACGCGTCTGAACGGCAAATCGGCACAAACATAAGGCCTCACTCAATTTAAAATATAGATTATTTTATTACATTATAATACTATTATAATCATTACCACAATAATAATAATAATAATAATGATAATAATAACTAGACTTACTATGTCGTTTGTACAACAGAACATAGGGCTTTTCCTCATTGCTATAATGAAAAATGATAAAAAAATAAAACAAAACACGGAAACCAAAAGTACTTATAGTACTAAACATATTATGAAGTTAAAAAAAAAAAAACAATTAAAACCAAGTTCACGACTACCACGACGTTAGTGAGACTCGAAATATTGCTGCAATGCAATATTCACACCCTGCTCCGGAGTGTCACAAAAATGTAATTATTTCTTTACTAGACCTTCACAAACTATTATAGAAAGTTTCGTTGATTGACCAATTGATTTTTTTTAAAGATAGATGCAGGTCTGGGGGCCTCAAAAATTTGAATGACCCTCAAATTTACACCATAAACTGTATTGTCCACAACACATAATAATTTCTTCCTTGTAACTCGGTTAAACTTTCCCTTAAGTTTCATTCAAATCAGTTGATCCGTTTTTGAAATATCTGGTGTAGAATGTTCTCTTATACACATCT